GGATCTTCTTGTTCTAATGGAAGGACACGTGCTGTTGGTGTCAGTCAATCTCCTCCTGCTGGGGTCTGGGAGATCTCCACAAACCACCTGTGAGGCCTTTAAAGAGCTAATGGACAGGAGCCACCAAGCAGGCCACTCTGCCCAGGGCTTTTGGGAAACCCTACGCGTGTGTCACCTGCAGTGACAAGCCTGCAGTCAGGGGGGCCGCTCCAGCTGCTGACCTTGGCTCTGACCACAGAGCCTGCCACCCCAGAACCTTCCAAGGCCCGCGGGCACTGGCATCCAGACAGGCTTCTCAATAACAGAGTTGGCATACAGGGCAGAAATATGATTAAAATAGCAATTATAACTGGAATTCCGATGGTGCTTTACAGGTTCCAAACATGCTTTATATTAATCTCATTCCATCCAGCTCATCTCCTCCTGAGTCTCACAGAGGTGGAGTGACTTGCCCAAAGTCACACAGTCAGGAAGCGGCCCCACTGGGGTTTGCCTCCCTCTTTGGCTCCAACCCTCATGGCGTGTGGCAGAGTTGTCCAGCGAATGGTGCTTGCCTTTGGAAGCGGGGACAACAGGGCCTGGGCTGTGTGACCCAGCATCTGGGGAGTTTCTTCTGGCCAGTTCGCTCTACCCTTGAGGCCAAGACGCTAGCTGGTGCCTAGAATTTGGGAATCCCTTTTCACTTCTGCTGTGATAAATTACTTATGGTTAGGATCAAAAAGGACTTCCTTGAATGCTCCATTCTCTGAAAAGGGCAGCTGGATCTTTCTATGGGATTCACAGAGAGCACATTTTCCTTCCATTTCACAGGCTTGATAACTGAGAGATGATAAGGAGGCTAAAATTTCACCATCCTCCCTGGCACAGAGCTTGTGTCACTGAGCTGGGCTCAGACTACGGATGTGGTAGGATGGAGCCCGTTGAGAAGCTGATAGACGCTTGTTGGCCAACCTTCTGGTCATCGAATGTGATGTGTCTGAGCCTTAGTTGAATAGGAGTTCATTGCTTCCCATGGGTTGGGCCCCGGGCACCCTGGAAGGCTCCAGATGTGGTTAGACAGGTGTGAGGAGATCACCCATCCTCAAGCAGGCTTATCCTGGCAGTCCCAAGACCATAGGCCGAGGATTGGGGCACAGCCTGTGGTGGCCTGAGGGTCAAAGGCAAGCTAGAGGGCCACGTAGATGGGGTGGCGCGAGGAGCCAGGTGGGCAGGGGGTGCCATTCAAGACTCCAGGCAGGGACCTAGAAAAAAATCTGTCTTCAGGAACAGAGCTCCAGAACCCAGGGTGGGCCCCCCTCCCTCTGTACAAGGGCAGGGATGGAGTGGGGGGCGAGAATGAGATAGATCAAAGATGAAAGATAGGAAATTACCCCATGATCATGGCTGGCCACTAGGCTGAGGACAGACTCTTAACCTGGTGACCCATCCTAGGCACGAGAATGGGCTGAGACGTCCAGCTTAATTTCACTGTGTGCCAGAGGTCCGGATCAGGCTGGGCTTTGGGGTGAGATGCCAGTTGTGGTGCCGAGAGGGAGGAAGGCAACAGAGACAGGGAAGAAGGGAGGGCCTGGCACAGGGGAGAGAGACTCCATGGGGTGGTTTTTACGAGTAAGGAAAATGTCAGCCTCTCCCCAGGGGCACAGATAGAAGGACAGGGAGCCGAACGGCCTTGAACAGCCGCTGGACACATTCCATGATGTCAAGCTGGCCAGCTGTCGCCCTGTCTCCTCCCACCTGCACCCCCATGCTGTTCAAGGGGATGGACAGAGAGAGGCCGGTTCCCGCGCCTGGAGCCTTCGTTCTATGGGGAAAAGGGATCACGCGTACAACAGCCCTCAGAGTGACTCAGGCCGGATAAGACCTCCAAAGAAGCCCCAGGCCTGTGGGTCTGGGGAGAAGTCGGCTAGGAGTGGAAGGGAGAAGTTCCTCCAAAGAGGAAGAAGGGAAGAAGAGAGACAGGAGTACCACTAATAGGTTTTGTACAGTCTCTCAGAAAAAATTTAAGATTCAGGGAAAAATAAATAAATAAAATTTTTAAAAATAAAAAAATTAAAAAAGCAGAGTCAGGGAGAGAAGAGGTTTCATACGTGAAGTCTTCTTTGCAGTGTCCCTATTGTCATGTGAAGACCTCATCTCACACACTGACTTCGATTCAGAACGTGCTCCAAGCAGATCAGAGGGAAATTACAATTCCCACTGCAGCATTCCCGTGGGCAGGAGGAGGGGGCTGCTCTGGGGAAGTGCTCCTTCGTGACTCTCTAGGCCTCACCCCAGCAGTCCAGGAGCAGAGATAGGAATATGGGGCAGCAGAGGCTGGAGACCCAGAGCCAGGACAAGCCTCAGGGGTGACCTTCCCTTCTGGTGGCTGGAGAGGTCCGAAAGACCTCTGGACCTCTCTCTTTAGCCCAGTCCTCCCCTGTCCCCCAAGAATGTCAGGGATGCCTACAGGCCCCAAATGCTTGGAGCCCCTGGGGGGCGGGGTCATCAGACTGGTTGGCTCCTGCCAATGTACGATTTTACCCCATTGACCGTGGATGGAATCCTCCATGAACTTGGCTGGGCTCCCTACCCAATGAAAGGCAGAAGGTAGGGGTTCCCCAAGAGCCACCACAGAGAAAAGCCACTAATAAGTTTCCCTCAAATGCCCTCAGACAGAGCCCCTGCTCCCATGTCCTTCTTCAAGCCCTCTTCTCTCCCCTAACACATTCACTGCTGTCCCCTCCAGTTTTCCTGTCCTTCTTGTCTAACACATGGACTACATGAGGTGAGCTGTCTTTGTCCAGATACAAGGGGAGGCCTCCAGACCTGGGTTCGGAGGGACCAGCACAGGCGGTGGAGGGACCATAGGCAGGACTGAGTTCACCTCCCAGCTCCGCTACAACTCTGCTCCTCCTCCTGGGGCCTCAGTGGGGCTACAGAACGGGTGGGGTTACTCTGCCCCTACCTCCTGGGACTCTGGGGAAGCCCACAAGTACATTATGGAAGGGTAGGGACCATCGTTGCTGGACTCACTGATCATTCTCAATGGCACTGCCAGCCCCCGGACACCCCACCTACAGCCAAGCCAAAGCCACCTCTGCCTCCTTCCCATCTTGGGCCCAGTAGGCCCCACCAACTCCTCTAAAGGGCCCTTCTTCCTTCCCAGCACCTGGGATATGTTTCCCAGGGGAGATGACGCAGATGAGATCACTTGTCCCAGAAGCTTAAGAATAACCCCTGAAACCAAATCAAAACACCTTACCACGCCTGGCACAGTACATGGGCTTCCAACCTACGGAGAGTCGGTTACCACACTTGGACGGAGGCTGCTAATTTTGCTGACAGCTCTCTATAGGGGAATATGATTGGCTCAGCCCAGGAACACAGGGCAGCCTTTCACTAGCTAGAGGGAAACATACATGGGCTCCGAGGGGCCCCGCACAGCTTTTCTTGGGGCCCCTGAGTACCGTTGTGTAGTGCTCACACTAGACCAAAGGGCAGGGGGGACTGAAATTCGCATTGCCTGCGAAGCAGAACATCCCCAGAACTATGTGTGCCTTTAGGAGGCCCCTTTTAAAATCCAGGCAAAGAACCCCTATCTGCCCAGAGAGCCGGCCCCCCTTTCTGAGTGGCGATGGTCCCAGAGAGAATATCTCAGAACTGATGGAGGCAAAAGATAACATAAAGATGCAGGTGGGTGAAAATGTGGTTCTGGGCCGAGTGGTGGGCACCCAACCGAGACCCAAATATTGCTTGAGGGCAGCTTCTGGTGAGAGCGAGCGGAACTGGCAGCAGGAGAGAAGGAAAGAGAGAGAGAAGGTCCAAGATTCCACTGACCTCAGAGTATTTGGGCCAAGGGGTCTCTGGGGTCACCTGCATACATCATTTTCAGAGGTGTTTGATTTTGGTCTTGGTTCCTTAATATTTCTTTATTTCATTTTCAGTTTTAGTAGTAGAATCCTTTTCCCGAAGAAAATTAAAACAGACGAGGGAAGCATTGGGTTGTTTCTTTTTTTAACCCGGGGAGAGGGAAATCCAGAGCTCTGGCCACCTTGACCCTGGCCCCTCCCCCAAGCCTGAGGGCTCCCCAGGACACAGTGTAGAAAACATTCACCAGGTCCAGCCCCCTTTCTTCAGCCATGATAAGGTGATGTGACTTGCCCAAGGCCCACGGGGGCAAACCTACACCCCCACAGCTCAGGATCCAGGTCCTGTTTCCTCCCACAGGGCAAAGAAGCAGGCCCTCAGACTCCTTGGCAACTGAATCTTCAAGGCATCAGGGCCTGGGTCCCTGCCCTCAGGGGATTGTTTGCAGCCACAGAACTCTCTAACCTGGTCCTGCCTTCTCCACGATAGAACCAGAGTCTAGAATCTAAGAGGTGGCAGGTCTGAAGATGTTGAGGGCACCCCAACCATGCTGGGGGGAAGAAGCTGCAGTGGGAACCTGGGGTACCATCCTGGAACCCAGTGTCTCACAGGGGCTCAGTGGGAAGGCCCCATTCGAGGTGGGTGAGCTCCTGTTGACGCGGAGAGTAGCAGGGCCAGCAAGTCACTGGCCACGTTGAGGGAATAGGGATGAGCCCCTGTGCGGTGCTGCAAACTTTCAGCACCTGGGACAAGAACAATCTCCCCACTGGCTTTCCATTCAGACCCTGCCCCAGTCTCTCCCCAGGGACCTGGGACCACCGTCTCCTGCTTTGTCCAGGCCCTCCCAGCAAGACACGTACCCAGATTCTCTGGTTCCTGAGCTTGGCCTCCCTTCAGGCTACAGGTAGCTTCCTGTTCTAGAGTGTTCTTGGTTAGCTCACATCCTCCCACCTCACCGCTAAGTCCCTCTTCCCACCCCCTGGGGGGTTGGCAGGGAACATGCCCTTGGACCAGGCCTGTCGTCATGGTGGCTTCAACCAGGAGCTGCCCTCTGGGGGCCTGCAGCAGCATCTGTTGCTCTTTGGATCTCCCCTTCCAGTGTGGCCTCTCATGTCCACCCCAGAGCCCCAAGAACACAGCCGGGCCACTGCTTTGCTCTCATGTGCATTTATTGAGCGCCAACAGAGTGCGTGGTACTATGCTCAGGGTTCAGAGCCACAGTCTATCAAAAGGAGACCAGAGCTGGTACAGAGAACGTTTCATAGCTGCTTAACATCTGTAAGGGATGGGGAAGGGGGGAAACTAATCACAAAACAAATTCCTATTCGAAAGCAACAGAATCTCCTCTGAGAGTAATATATATTCTACGCACACGCACGCACGCACGCACGCACACACACCCTGAATGAACACAGACGTATACCCACGTGGTTGTATATGCATGCATATACAGGTGGTGTGGGCAGAGAAACTAATGGGTCTGCTGGAGGCGCGCACGCACGCACGCGCACGCGCACGCACACGCCACCGCACAGACAGATGATCTGGCTTAGCTATCAAAGACACTACGTGTCCAGGTTCTAGTGAAGCAGTCTGTCCTAGATGCCTGCAGCATGCAAAACTTGGAGGTTCCGGAGATTCACAGTTAAGGAGGACAATGGGTATACGTGTGCACTTTTCCATCCTCGGGGCCCCAGCCCCAGCACTGGAGGCTGGTCTGTGTGGGCGACAGCAAAGCCTCGGTGAAGGGCTCCCAGAGCAGAGCCGGGGAGCTGGAGGCTCTGTGTCCCGTGGCAGGGCCCACGGGAGCCCTGGTGAGTTCACCGATCTTCAAGGCAGAATTTAAAACTCTGGTTTTCGAGCGTGGAGTCCTTGTTACGGAGCCGCAGATGGAGGGAAGAGTTTCTCTTCTTGCTCGCTCTCTGCAGCTTCCCACGTGTGCTAACGCATTTTGTAGTCATTAGATACAGATGTTTCACACAGCTGTCCCTTAAAATCCAAATCTACCGTGAAATCGAGGTCTCGCTGCAAAGGAGGGGCGAAGGGTCCTGGGGTTAGGGTGGTCGGGAGTCGCCCCCCCGCCCCCCCGCACCGGCTCCTGCCTGTAGGGGGATGGGTGACTACCGTGTTTCTAAGATTTTCTAGCGAAGGGGTTCCCACGAGCAGCCCTTGGGAATCTATTCTGGTGTCTCATTATCCTGACAGGAAGTGCTTTGATTTCCAACCTAAACCCTTCCTGTTATAATACAGAAAGAAGTGTTCCCTCTGAGTTCATCCTGAGGGAAAACAGAGTGGGGTGCTTGAGTCTTCCCTAGCACAGCACTCAGAACGTTCTTCAGACTCTTTCAACCACAGGCTCGCACCTGCGGTTACTCAGAAAGAATCACACAATCGCCGACCCACCAGGCCCACTGAAGAAAGGCGATCCGAACATCTTCCAGGCCAGCAGAAGCTGTTATTTTCTGGCTTGGCTTGCTCTAAATGAGCTGTACCACAGCCTCTGTGCCCAAAGACACCGGATGAAGAACTGGAAACTGTCCTTGAGGCTGAGAGGCCAGAGCTGGGCCTGGAGAAAAATCTCTCATCCCTGAATGTTAAGGGACCATAGCTAGAGGCCTTCAGTGACACCTAGTCTGGCTTTCTACTGCCCCTCCCCCAGTACCTGGTCTGTTGGTACACAAGGCACTAGGGCACCTGGGCAAGGGGGTCCTGGGAGCTGCGGGGAGCCAGCTCTGTGGGTCCCTTCCTCTCTCTGACCCTGCCCCAGGCAGAGATGGCTTCAGCACTCACCACATTTTTGGCATTTGGCTTCATGGATATGGTCCCATAGATTTCTTCCCCCCTCCGGACAGTGAGGTAATCTTCTAAGTAGAAGACAGTCTGCTTCCAGTGGGTGTAGGGGGCATCGGGGGCTGAGGGGACAAGAACAGGGCAGGTGGGAAGGAAGGGTCACAGGAGATATCTCCAGAAGGACTGAGGCCGAGACCCTGCCTAGAAGTGCTGCGCTTCCTCTGGGATTCACTGAACCAACACCCAGCACTCTTGCAGGTCAGGGCCCAACCCCCATAGCCAGCTGCCCCAGAAACCCTCATTCAGCCCTGGTGCTCTTGCTTCCATCGAATTCCCATCTTCTCAGAGCTCCTGATCTTCCAGGGAATCAGCAGAGAAAGACTGGTATCACAAGTTCATTCCAAGGGGTGGGATGAATATCCTCTCAGCAACTGAACTCATTAACGCAGATGAAACTCAAAATGCTACTGTTTTTAATTAGTTCAACAGAAGGAAGATATTCAAGCAGTGTAACAGGGAGATTTGTAGGTAAGCCATCCTGGCTCCCCTTAAGTGACATCATGTATGCAAATTCCATAACTAAACCCATGTCCCACCGACAGCCCATTCTATACACAGCTTTCCTTGCCTCTTCTCTGCCCCAGAACTAAACCTAGTCTCCTTGACCCAAGCCTACTGTGGGGTTTCATCAGTGTCCTCCTAACTGGATCAAAAAGAAAAGGCATGGGGTGCCTGAGTGGATCAGTTGGTTAAACGTCCAACTAACCAACCAAGGTGAGTTTAGCTCACATCATGATCTCAGGATCATGAGATAGAGCCCTGTGTCGGAACCCATGCTCAGCAGGGAGTCTGCTTGAGATTCTCTTCCTCCTTCTCCCTCTGCCCTCCCCTCCTCAGATAAATAAATAAATCTTTAAAAAAAGGAAATGTGGGATAATTCTCATCCCACAGATCCACCACTAGTACACAGCCCACGCCTCCTGCAGGATCCCAAACCAGACCAATGCTGGGGCCTTCCCTGTATTAGTCATTGAATCCCATCTAGCTTCTCTCTCGACACACTACATGCTCAAGAGCCAAATGAGGGGTCCTGCGTATGGGCCATCTTCCTCAGTGCCTCAGTAGGCTCTCCCTTCCTCATTCGTCAAGGTCACTTCCTCTGGGAATCCTTGCCCAAGGCCCGCCCTGGGCTTATGTGACCACAGAGCCTATCACACTGCAGTGCAAAGGCCTTTGTCTTTTCTCAGCTGTTTGCTTCCTCCATTAAGACTGCAGTTTCTATGAGGACAGGTGCCAGGCCAGGCTTCTTTACTGTGATATCTTGGCACCTACACTTGCTAGATCTGTAAGTACTGAATAAATGAGCGAGGGCAAAAACCCAAATAAGTTTGTTATGCTTCAAGGTACCATAGATGTTCAATTCCAGTGGTGGCTTTGAAAACTATAAGTAGTAGAGGAACCCATTTTAGTAAGTTCTTCTTGGCCTGTTAGGGTCTTACCTTCCTCCACCTGGATGTAGGACTCCTTGATACTGATTTTCTTTTTGCTTAGGACCAGAGCTAAAGATGAGAAGACTTGGGAGAATATAATAAGCGCCTTTCAAATACTTCAGAAGCCATCATATGGAAAGTCTCATACATGGCCTTATATATGGCATTTGAGGCAGAACAAAGGCTAGTCACTAGAATAACTAGAATGCAAATTTTTAATCCATCGGGAAAAATTAGGGCTGTTCTGCAATCGTCTGAGCTACCCAAGGTCCAGCCTTGAGGTGTGCCTACAACAACCACTAATAGGATTTATCATGCGTTGAGTTAGACCAGGTCACTTCTGAGATCTTACAAACCCCAAGACCTATTTAAATGGTGGTGAAGGGTCTGTCTTTCTTCACCCTTTGCAATAATCTGGCTTGATCAAATGTCAGTGGTTTGGTTAAAGACTTGTGTAGCCTTCAATGTGTGCATTTGGGAAATCAATGCAAACTCAAGGTCATGGTGGGGGAAAAGCAGCCTGAGCACTTAGAAAGAATCAAAGGAGGATCATGAATATGCAGTCTGTGCCTCTCAGATCCTAGATCCCCAAACATACCAGCCTTTGTGGCCTCTAAGCCATACTGCTATCTACGGAAAATGTCCATCCGTCCCAGCACCTTCCCTGCCAACTACATCTAAATAAATGGTCAAAAGATAGTCTCTGGTGTGTGTGGAGAATGGCAGTTTATGACTGACAGCACTCTTGCCCCCACTTCCTCCTACACCAGCTCAGACAGGTGTCTCTCCTGTTCTTAAAGACCTTCAGGCAAGGAGACTCAAGCAGCTTCCTTCTGTCACCTAATCGGATGCCTTAGGAGAGTCCCAGGGATTTCACCGCTCAGGGTTGGCGACCATCAAGCCTAGGTGTGTCTGATGGTTGTCCAAATGTATACCAGGCTTGGGTTGGAGGAAAGTGATTTTTTTCCCCCTTGACATCAACATCAAAGTTTGAGAACCTCCCCAAACATTTCATTTCTGTGACGGGTCCATTGGTTGTGGACTAATTATCTAAACCAGGTTTCAAAAATACTAATTCTCCATCGAGATGTCCAGGAGAAACTGATTACAATTCAGATGTCTCAACTCTACTCTTAGAAACTTGAATTCAGTCATTCTGGGGGGACGTGAAGGGGGCAGACTTGCCAAGACTTAAACATCTCCCCCCGGGTGTTATAGACACACAGCATGGCTGAAATCATGCTGCGAACCCAGTCTTTGCATCTAGTAACATCTCTGGATGGGCAAGAGTGGAAAGGACATTTAATGAGGCAAGAGCAGGCCCAGTTTCCACCTCCCCATTGCCATGTGTTTGCTCTATGACCCTGGCACGCGTTTTCTACATCTATAGAATGTGGGGTGTGATATTTATAATCCTTTGAGGATTAGATGGGATGACAAGGGGAAAGGGGATACAAAGGGTGACCATAGACAGCTCCAGGTTGTGGTTTAACTATGAAGAGTTCTCCCTTTCACTATGAAAGTGTCCTTAATTGAAAGATCAATTATACGGTCACTGTACAACACACTAAGCCAATGTGAGGGTATTGCTAAGCCATTATAATATAATAAGCCATTATGATATAATTCCAATATCATCACTATGGGAAGTGGTAGATATCATTTTGCTTATCCATAATCTATGGTGCTGACCTGCAAAGATACGCTGCCTCAGTCTAGGAGTGCAGAATGTCCTAGGGAAGCATCTAGAATGGTGGCAGGTGCAAGGATGAGCATGCAACATGGGGCTGTGGATGACATCTAGAGCTCTCATCAGGGAATAAGTCCCTCCCTCCCTCCCCTGCCCCAACTCTAATCTTCAAAATCATGCACCTGATTTTCAGTTTTCCCTGTTATGAAGATATCTTTATACTCTTAATACCCTGACCCCACACGCCAACCTCCCCTTTTCTCCCTCCCCTTCCCAGTTTCTCTGGGCTCTGGATTGTGAACAGCTTTTGTTCTATATTTTGAAGTGAGTGTGACCAGTGCTGTCCCCAGCAGGCACTCCTTCACTCAACAGACATCAATTCAGGATGTTTTTCATGTGCCAGCTATGGTCCTAAATTTGGGAAACAGCAACCTGTACAGCCTTGCCTCCCCTTCACATCCTGCAGCCTCAGTGAGAAGGCACTCAGGCCACTGGGTCATCCTCATGACCAAGGACAAGGACGGTAGAGCTCAGGGGGTTGGGGGGACGAATGGCAAGGGCCCCTCCCAAGAATTCTTTTCCCGGTGCTTTCAGAAAGGGAGTGGAATCCTGCTTTCTGTTTCACTTCCCGGTGTCCAAGTGCCTGGTAGCTTTTCCTGAAATTTAGAATATTTTCTAGCTATCAATTTGTAATATAGTCCCTAGAGAATCAGAAGCTTTTTGGAGAATGAAAGACTATGCACCAAGAAGTTTCTTTGACCTGCTACAATGACTCATGGTCACTGGATGTCAAAGCTGGAAGGGGCTGCTAGGCATCTCAGTCCAGCCACATCATCTCACAGATAACAAGCCAGAGTCCCAGAAAGTAACCTAATCAAGGTCCATCTCCTGTATCTGGCCATCCTACCTGGCGGACTCCTGGAAAAACAAAGACTCCAGCCCAGGCCTGCTTTCTACTCAAGCAACTGCCCCTCCACCCACTCCAACTGCCCCAAGGGTCCCAGTTCCCACATCCTGCCCCACCCACTGAGGATGGGGGGGGCAGCCATGCCCGCTGGCGGGCACAGCCTGGAACGCTGGCCTCCTGTGCCCATTTGCAACAGCTTCTGCCTGGAGCTGCAGAGAGGAGACGCCAGAGCCATTAACAAGGATTGTTTTCAAGCTGCACACCACGTGATGTGCTCTCGAGTGGGCCCCCCAGAGCCAGCTGTGGCTGGGCTGAGACAGAAAGTTCGGCAGATAATTGATGGGAAGGTGGCACATACAGCAGGCTTCACTCTGCATGAATTTTGAAAATAGCTGAGACTAAACAATACAATGTTCTGACATACACATACATGTGATCAAACTTTCTTTAAAAATAGCAAGGGGATAAGGGGTACAAATTATTCGGAGTAATGTTCATCTAGAGGCTATATGGGGGGGTGATGGGATGGGATGGAGCATCCGTTTCGTTATGTGGCGAGCTCACAGGGATTAATTATGCAACTGTGAATTAACTTACTTATTCATTATAAATAGCATCATTATATCCATTAATAATGTAATTCAGGTTAATATTTATATTCTAATTACTAGTAATAGTTCATTTCTTGATATTAACTAATGCATTTACATTCTAATAACAGTAATACATTTCTTTCTAGTTACTAGTGCGTTCTAGTTAATAATACTTTATTTACATTCTAGTCACTGAGTTAGTGGTGAGTTCACAGATGTTCATTATATTAATAAATAAACAAGCAAAAATTGGACAGTGCCTGACCCAATGATGTCATGAACCAGGCATTAGGGTTAATCTAATTCTGTGCATCTGAGGTCTTCAAAAACAAAAAACAAATACTCTTTTCTGGGTGGTTGGAGTACAGAGAGTCTGAAATGCCCACTGCCAAACCCACACTACCTGGTAAATATGTATGCCATAGTGTTGGAAGCAAAACCCCCTGTGGTAACCCCCCAAGTTGGTTGAGGAAGCAGATAAGCAAATTATTTCCGCTGATCTCTAACCATATGGGGATGCTGCAGCAAGAGGGACCTACAATAGCTAGAAGGCAAAGACCTTGAGGAGAAAAAAGGGCATATCACAGTAAGGATATGGATTTATCTTTCCAGAAAGGCATTGACCATCATCTTGTTCAAGCAGTCATGAACAGGGGCAGTAGTTCTCAGACTGATCTGTGTATCGCAGTCACCTGGAGGGCCCCACTCCAGAGTCTCTGACTCAGAAGATCTGGGGTAAGTCTTGAGAATTTGCATTTCTAACAAGTTTCCAGGTGATGCTGGTGCTGCCAGCCACAGACCACACTTTGAGAATCTCTGTACCAAGCGTGGGGAACAGAAGGCTGTAGGACATCTGGGTGACCTTTCAGACCTAAGTTTCTGGGGTTCTGTGCAAAAAGGAGTCTACATAACACCATAGTTGCAAAAAGACAGATGAGTGAGCTCAGACCTTGATCTATACCCCTAGTCTTTGAGCCTAGGAAACACAGTCCTCATCATCTCTCTCCCCGGGACCTGTGAGGAACTACATTGGGGCTGTGACCACAGAATGGGGCAAAACAGCACCAGTGGGTTGGATGGAGACTTGAATGCTGGGAGCAAATCCTCACCATCCCTCTGCCCAGGGCTGACCTCTTTGATTCTGAATTTGAGATTAAACAATCCTTCATATGGGGGCATCTGGAGTGTTGTCCTTGCCACCACAGAGCCATCTCTGGACAGGGGTCCAGCAGGCTACCTGCTTGACCTCAAGAAATGGAAATAAACTCATGGAAGGGATAAGGGAGTGCGATGGGCTACAAGCTATAGGGCTGGATCCTAGGTTTTACAAGAAGAACTTTTTCCAGAGCACCCCTAGTACTCTTCCTCGTCGCCTACAGCAGGGCAGGCCCCAGGGGAGGCATCATCCTGGAGAGAGTAGAGGCAGGCCCAGCTGCGATGGCTCCAACCCCAGCTTCTAGTCACCGCACGGTCCTCAAGCAGGCTCCTGCTCAGCCCTCCCACTGCTACCATGCTGCCCCACTACTGTGGGGGAGTCTGAATCTCACCCACCCTTCAAGGTCCAGGTAAAACCTCCCTTTCCCCTCCTGACTACCAGGAAGGCCATCTCACCTGCTGCCCCTCTAAGAAGGGCAGTACCTGAAAATGACCCAAATTGGGGGGTCTCCGGTTTTCCCCAAGATGGGGGGTACCATCCCTGCCCTAGATGGTGGGGACCAGCAGATTGTGGTCTTGGTGGTCAAGAGACACCAGTTCTGGAAAAAACCCTTCTAGGAGGGGTTAGAGAAGTCTTCTGCCCCTCTGTCCACAAGTAAAAGAGGATCACTGTCACCAGGGCTCCAAAAAGTGAATAATCATATCCTCAGATTCTTATAGAACCCACTCACCCCTGCCACATGCAAGCTCCCTCGCCCCCAACGACATGCTCCCACCTCCCGGGAGGACTTTGCAGGCGTGATCAATAGGAATATCTTCCCAAGGGCAGGACTCGGATCTTGATAGACTCATTGGACAGAGATGTGTTTAGGACCTACTGAGAGCCAAGCTCTCCTCTAGACGGCAGCAGGAGAGAGACTCAGGAGATGTGACCCCAGCCCACAGGGAGACTGAGAATTGTGTAAAAAGAGTGAAAATACTGACTAAACAATGGTACATCTGGCACAGGAATCCCATGTAGTTGTCTCAAAAAAAAAAAAAATACACTAGCTACACCTGTGAGGCTGTGGAGGGTTCTCCAGGGTATATTGTTAAATAAAGACAAGGAGGCAGAGGGCTGTGTGTTTCGTATGAGCCAACCGGTGTTTTAAAAATGGTGTAGTTGGGATGTGGTACTATACTTACCTAAGATGCCACCCATGGGCGAGCTGGGCAAAGGGTTCACAGAACTCTATGTACTATTTTTGCAACTTTATATGAGAAGTATTTCAAATAAAAAGCCGAAAATACAAAGGTGTATATAGGTATGCAGGTGCTTCTCCACCATTGAAATGTTTGGGAAGGATACAAAAGAAATCGTTAACATATGTCTCTGAGCCAGAGTTGAGATGCAATGGAAAGAGAACTTTTTCCTTGACTTTTTACACTTTTTTTTTTTTTTTTACAGCGCCATGACTGACTGACATAAACACAGGATATTAGGGAGCCCCAAGGAGGAGGCCTAGCCTTGACCAGGAGTGGAGGAGGGCATCCATTAACAGCTGAGGTGGGAGATGAGGCCTGTGCTGGAGTTGGCCAGGCGAGGGGTGGGATGGAGGAGGTGTTTGGGGCCAAATTGTGTCCCCCGCAATTCATGAGCTGTGTCCCTAAGCCCCTGTCCCTCAGAATATGACTGTATTTGGAGATAGGGCCTTTAAAGAGACTGTTAAAATAAGGCCTTTGGGTGGGCCCTAATCCAGTATGGTTGATGTCCTTGTAAAAAGAAGGGATGAGGGCACACAGCAGAGGAAAGGCCATGTGAGAACGCAGAGAAGAGGAGGCCACCTGCAATCCAAGGAGAGAGTCTCAGGAGAGACCAAACCTGCGCATACCTTGAACTTCCAGAACTGTGAGAAATAAATGTCTGTAGTTTAAGCCACCAGTCTGTAGTACTTCATTATGGCAGCCCTACCAGACAAATACGGGAGGAAGGAGATGACAAGAGTCTCTGACAAGATCTTCCTGTCCCCATGACGCACATAGAACAGGGGTTGGCATGGGCAGAGACAATGGCCTAGAGACTTAAGAAGCCTTGCTAAGCTCAGGGACTGCAAGGTGCTTGGTGTGACTGGGCTGTGTGTGCAGTGAAGGGACATGGTAGGAAGGCACAGCAAAGGAGGGGCAGTGAGAAATGAGGTGACAGAAGTGGGCTAGGGCTGGGTCATGGAATCCCCACTTACCAGGCTAAGAAATTTGGGCTCATCTGCTGCAGGAAATGAAACACCTCTGAAGCTGGGCCGGGAGGGAGAGCACAGATGGTCTTTGGGGAACAGTGTCAGGAGCTTAATGAAGGAAGGATTAGGGTAGAAGCAGCAAAGAGAGGAAGGAGACAGGGAGACATGGGCTCCCTAGGTCTGCAGCCTAGGGAGAGACCCATTGAATCCTGTGGGAGAGTGAGGCAGTGAAGACAGGGAAACCTTACTCCACTCTGTATTCTTGCCCCTTGCACAAAATATGCTTAGTAAATGTTCAATGAACAAATGTGCCTTCGAAATGGGGCCATCCGCCTCTGCCTCTCCCTGCCCAACACGCACTCTCGGCTCTGGTCTTACCATACCCACTTCCATCTACCTTCTCCTTTGGCAGCCAAAAGCCTGGGGAAGTGCTGGAGAAGGCTTACGAGATGCCAGGCAAGGACTCCCCCACCGCCCCACTCTGGCCCCAGGTCCTGCCCCCACAACAAGGCCAGCCCCTGCCACTTCTGCAAAGCCTCTACAGGGAGGCAGAGGAGGGTCTGGAGTGAGTGCCCACAAAAGGCTCACCTGTGGAAAACCCCATTTTCTTGTGGCACTTGGTAAATTCAATATTAAAATAGGTGACCAGGGCGTGGACATAGTCATTTCGCTGTATCTGCAGGCAGAAGGCAGATGTGAACGACAGCTCTTCCGTCTTCACCGTATAAATGTCCACTTCCTGCAGCCCGGAGGAAAGAGAATGCCAACAGTTAGCGCCCCCACCAGGTCTGGGTCTCGGTCAGCCGCTTCCTTCCCTTGGAAGACCACCCACAGTAGACTCTCGGGGTGGGGGTGGGGTCATTACCTTCGGGGTGGTTCCCCAGTTCACCCATTGCCCTCCCAGTGACCTCCTCCATCCTTTCTATGGTGGGGTATGCTCAAGAAATGGTGCAAACACATTTGAATGTGAGGGGAACAGAATTAGGAAGGTCAGCCTTCTGGGAATGGGAGGGGAGGAAAGGGGAGAGGGGGATGAATGAGACAGAGCTTTCCTGAACCTAACTGAGTGGCCTCAGAGCAGTCTAGCTCAGCATCACTCCCTTCCTCTAGTGGTTCTCAGAGTGCAGCCCCAGATGAAGGGCATTAGCATCCCCTGGATACAAATTCTGAGTGGGGGTGGGGTGGGGACGGCAGCTCAGACCTCTGGGATCAACACAGCGATCGATTGGTCCTTTTTCAAGCCCTCCCAGGGATTTGGGTGAACCAGATTCGTCATTTCCCCATTTTTTGATGTTCAAGTTCTGAGCAACAGGAGACACTAAGTATTATCTTGGGAGTGAAGATAGGAGCCCAACTACAATTACAGGCTGAACTGAGGAAAGTTCTGCTGACCATCTACACCTAGCCTGGATGAAAGAAAGAGAGAGAGGGGGAGAGAGGGAGGGAGGAGGGAGGGAGAGAGAGAAAGAGAAAGAGAAAAAGAGAAGAAGGAAAGAAGGAAGGAGAGAGAAAAAGAGGAAGGAAGGAAGGAGGAAAGAAGGAAGGAAGGAAAAGGAAAGGAAGAGGGGAGGGGAGAGGGAGAGAGGTGGAGGGAGGGAGATGAAGGGGAGAAAAGAGAAAGGAAGAAAGAAAAAAGGGGGAGAAATAAGTAAGAATTTTTCAGTTCTGAGTGGGGAATGGAAAACACAAAGAACTAATAATTTTAACAATTTCAGCTGGGAAGTAGCTGAAAATCAATGTTGCGTGGGGAGCAAGTATAATGAAAGACAGTTTGCAATGTGCTGTTCTTTTCTGTGTGAAGGATGCTGACCTGCTGTTTGCTGGCTCCGGTGAGACAGGGCAAACCTTCCAAGAGCCCTAGAGGCATCCAGACAGCTTTCTGTGAGGTCTAAGGAAGCTTCCCATTGCTGGATTTGTGTAGCAAGGACCTCTGTCCTGAAGACTGTAAGAACCAGACAGAAACTCTTGTGCCTGGACTGGTTCCAAGGGGGTTCTCCTGAGACCCGGATGATGGAATATGTTGGGGATAATTAGGAGAGGGGTCTGAAGGTGGGGAAACTAGAGCAGGGAAGACACAGAATGATGTAACAGAAATGGCTTTTATCTCTGCATATTTCTAGAACAAATAAAGAGCAGACACAAAGCATTCCAGGGACTTGAAAGAGACAGAGGAAGAAGTTTGGTCAAGGAGGCAAGTCCGATCAGAGCCCTATTGTGGTTTGTAGTGTGGAGCCATCATGTCCTCTGGGGGAAGCTGCAGATCTGATGTGTTGGTTGGGAACAGGGTAGAAATGCAGATGTAGGGAAATAGAGAGCCTCTTGGTGATGTCACCTCAGATGCAGGTTTACTGTGCTTCTAGAACCAAGGATGGGGAACAAGAATCAGGGGAATGGGAAGCCATGGGTCAAGCATGCAGAATTTGATGGGATTAGAAAACCATCAGTGTGAGAGCCCCTTTGGTAGCCTCCCTGGGGGGTGGCCATCTGGTGCTGGCTTGAACACCTTTGTGGGACTGATGTGCTCACTACCTGCCAGGCAGCTGATTCCATCTCCTGACATCTCCAATGGACAGCTCCCTCTTCAAAATGAGTGAGGAGAGTACCCTCTAGTCTCTGTAACTTCCACCCATGGCTAATGCCTCTTCCACCTCACAGAGGCCCCCTAAACCTTTTCTTCTCCAACATAAACTGTGTTTGTTTTCTCATTCACTTCTCATAAGTCATGATTTCTGACTCCACCACTCTCCTTGTTTGGGACATACTTCTAGCAGCTTCTGATCTCAAAAAGCACTCTGCTGGCTCAGACAGCACGAAGTCAGCCAAGCCCCCTCCCTTCACCACATCCTCACTCATGCTCCTTTTTCCTTTTGTCCTGGTCACTGAGTGTAGGGTCCTCCATTCTATGTCATCCTGCTATGTGTGGTCCACGGCACCTGTCAGCGTATATGACGTTCCTTAGCCCTCCGGCCACAGGCTGCCCATGGTTCCTTCAGGTCCACAACCCAGAGCCAGATGTGGTTAACCATGTATGTTAATGGCATCAGCATAGTCCACAAGGCTTCCGGTGCCCACACTCACCGACTACCATCTCCTTCTTCTCCAGGGCCAGATGACCAGGCTCCAGGCTCTTTCCAAGGTCTTTTCTTTTTCTTTTGGTCCCTCTGCTTTCAGCCTTGCCTGATCTTTCCATGGGTACATCTGGCTTGTCTCAGCAGCCTGCTCCCTGCCTCCCTGCCCCCACCCACATCAGACTGGAGTTCAGGACAGAGACTGCCCATGATGGGTCTGTGTATTCCCACTGTGTAACCTAGCACTTGACAGTCCTCAGTCTTCTCCCTACTGGCCTCCCTGCTCGACAGAGCTCCTGCCCCCAGCCCCAGGCCTCTTCTCCAAACCAACCCCCTAATCCCTCAGATCCATTCAGATTGCACTGCTCTCTGAATCCAAAACCTTACATGACTCCATATGGCTTACCTACAGATCGTGGACCTGTTGGCCTGAACACAGACAGTGAGCCCCAAAGGTAGGCTCTGGGACACATCTGGACCTGGCTCCTTTCTCTGGGCAGCCCCCTCACTTCTTCACAACATTCAGGGCATGTGCTCACACACACACCATCCCCCTGGATTAGGAGTCCCACCTCCCTAGAGTCCTGCTCCCAGACCTGTATCAACCACCGTCAGCTATCAACTCCTCTGTTAGCTGACAGGGTTCACGTCGTCCTACAGACATTTGCATCTTAATAGGGACCCCCGAAGGAGCAAAAGGCTTCGAGACAGACGTGATGAAGCTGTACATTAGAATGGTGACAATGGAGGGGCACCCGGCTGGCTCAGTCAGTAGAGCGTGCAACTCTTGGGTTGTGAGTTCGAGCCCCACACTGGGCATGGAGCTCACTAAAATGACATGACAGGACATGACATGACATAAAATGGTGACAATGGAGGCAGCTGATTTTTGGTAATAGTGGTGGAGCCATCTGCGAAGGTGGCCCGCTGTGGCTGGGCTTCAGAGACGCAGAGGCCCTCAAAGCTCACGCCAACCCTCCTGTCAGACCCAAAGCCTACAGAGCCAAACCCTTTGCCCTGGCTCCCTAGGGCCCAGAGCCCTGCTCTGGAAGGATTTTGTCTTCCTGCTCCAACAGCGTCTCTGACACCGCAGAGGGCCTCCCGCTGACTCGGCCTCAGGGAAGCCCCAGGAAGCGGAGGGTTCTGGAAACATCAACTGCTCAGAAAAGCCCTGGCCTCCATTATCCCCACCACTAAATAACGTTACAAATGGATGTCTCAGAGCAGAAGTCTGGTCAAAACAGAGTCTTAATTATAATAAAGTGTCACACTTTGCAATGTTAATAGCGATGAAAGTAGCAATTAAGTGTGTGAAGAAGGGCAAGTGTTTTCCCAACAGGCTTGGCAAAATGTTGCTTAGCACATCCGCAGGCAAGCTGATGGAGGGGTTCTCCTGGTTACAGAAGCATGCACAGACCATCCTTACCCTTCCCAGGGAAGAGAGAAAGAAGGGGTGCGGGCAAAGGAAGGGGGGCAGGACCTCAGCTTCGAGCTCCCATCCTGACGCAAACTCATAGGCCCGGAGTGTGGGTGCCCATCTGCGTCCCCTTCCCCAAGTTCTGTTGCTTTGCCTCTGGTTGCACTCAGATATAACCAAGGGAAAAAAACCTTGGTGGGAGTGGGGAGGCCAGAGTGGCCTTGCGGTGGGGGAGAAGCAGGCCAGCCCACCACGCGACCTGCAGTAGACCCAGGCAAGCACAGTGGCCATGCCTACCATCAAAGGTGGAAAGCCCCCTGGGGCCCCTGAACATTGAAACAGTCATGCCTTCGGCCAAGGCCATGGTGCACAGATGCCTAACAGTTCCATAAAACTGTCCCATGTCATTTGGGCAAATTCAGTTGCACCAGTTTGGGGGTATATTTCCCTGTTTCTTGTTTGGGGAAGGGAGAGGGAGAGGCTTCAGGGACCATAGGCTGGTAGGAGAAAAACTTAAAGGACACATTTGCTTGCAGTTGATCCTGCCTGGACTTGGAACTGGCCAAGTTAAGAAGTAGCGAGAACCCTGTCAACAGAGAGCCAAAGACATAGACTCCCAGCTATACCTCTTAGGCAGAATGTCATAAGAAGGAGGCATCAGCTGATGAGCTATGTGAGGCTCAACTAGTTTTATTAGTCCTTGGAGGTCCCTTCTAAATGCCACAGGGACACTAGGGACCAAGAGTTGTGTTTCTTCTTAGGAGGACTGTGCCCACCAACAAAGGACAGCTGTGAGCCTGGCAGAGCAGCAGTTTACATCAGAACTTCAGGAACCTCATCCCCAGGGGCACTGGACTCTTCCCCTTTATCCACTGCAGATGCTGCTGGGCTCCAGCCCAATACTCCCCACAAAGAAGTGACACGTCCAGGACCAGAGCCCGCAGTCTGTCTCATTAAGATGGAGGCTGGCTGGGCCAATGAACACTTACAGAATGAACCCAGATTTTTACATTAAAAAGTTAGCTTCAACCATATGAAAGTGATGTCTTTTCAGATTTTAAAAGACCAAGTATCAGTAGTTTATATGGTTCAACATAATATATTAGTGTCTATAGATGTAAATTTGTAAGAAAGGGCTGGAAAGAGCAAGCCAACATGTGAACAGTATTACCTCCAGGAAAAGCGTGTGTGGGGTTGAGAGGGAGGGAAGGTCAAGGGGAGCTTTTGTTTTCACTCTATCAAATTTGATATGTTTGAATATTTAATAATAAGAATACACGGAGGATCATTGGGCCAAGGATGCTGGCCAGCTGTTCTTCATTTGCACGGAAGAAAATCTTGTCAGGAAAGCTGTTAGAGCATGTGCAAACAAGACCACTCAGGAAGTGAAGAGTGGTGGTGAGGAGCTCTGTCTGGCCAGGTCAGATGTGCGCTTGGAGGAGGGAGTGTAATGCCGATTACAGAGCCGTTGGAGGGATTGGATTGCTTCCCCAAGAGGGCCATCCACCTCTGAATGGAGGAACTTGCCCAAACCTGAGCATACCCTCCTGCCTCTCCACTGATGCCCCCTCCCCCAGGCCCTTCCCCCTGAATCACTGAGGGATGTGACCCGACTCCCTCCCTTTAGCTGTGCCCCCGTGGAGTCCAGTGGCTCTCTCTGTGGCTCTGCCTTGTGCGAGCATCTTCTTTTGATGGGCAGTCACCTTGGGGTGCCAGGGGATCTGGCCAAGTTGGCCTTGCCTCGCCAGGCCGGGGTACTCCAGGCCCATGGCTTTCCAGGGTGGCACAGCTGGGTTGCCAGCATGCCTGGGCCCGAGCAGGAGGAGTCTACAGACCTTTATTAAACAGGCATTGGTCACCACTTGCTTTGGATCCACGATGTCCACCAAGGGCTCCTTCATGGCAACATCTCGGATACAGGTCATATCAAAGCCATAGACATTCTCCCACCCTGCGAAAACAGAGTGAGCCATGAGGCCAGCAGCAGGACCCCCAGAAGTCTTCCCAGCCCTCCAGAGTGCTAGAGCACAGTATCCCCAAGGGGTGGAAGGGGCAGCCCACATTCCCCTGAAATCAGAATAGAAGAATTGCTCATCGAGTGGAGAGCTTGGCAGGATGTACAGATCCCCACTTGATGGTTAGGAAAACTAAAACTCAGAGAGGCTGAAAAACTTCTCTAAGGTCACACAGCTAGAACACCACAGGATCAAGACCGGAATCCAGATTGCCTGCCTCTTCCTGGATCTATTTTCCTTCTCTCTGAGCCAGCAGCATCTCCTACAAACTCTTATCTGGCACCCACATTTCTATCTTGGTGCCTTTGCTCGGCCATTCTGCACACTTAGAAGATCCATCTCTCTCCCTTCTCCTGTCTCCACCCACTGAATCTTCAGCAAAGCAAAGAGAAACATGGGCTCTTAAAATGATATAGACTAGTTTGAATCCCAGCACCAGCACTTACTGACTAGGCCCTTGTGCTAATTCCCTAACCTCTCTGAACCTCTGTTTTCTCAACTGCAAAATGAGGGGGGAGGGTGGGTCACGGGTCTGTCTTTCTCACATGCCATAATGTACTCACTAAGAATCCATCCCATAAGAAATATCCCCCAGGTAGTGCACAACCAACCCAGTGGTGCTCATTGGCCCCTTATGGCTGCTCATAAGATGCTTTGAGAGGGAGAAAGATGTAGGATGCAAGGGTGGTGAGTGAAGGAATGCACATCTGATGGCCTAAGACCATTCTTAATTCATGGCAATCATTGTTACCATTGACTGACCACTTAGCTCAAGCCAGACTCTTCATTTAATCTATCCAGCAACCTCCAGGGGATACTTCCATTGACAGTCAATGAAATAGGTTGGGGGAAGTTGGCATCTGGCTCACACACAATATCTGGGTCCAGATCCTGCATTAGGGAGATGGAGGAGTTAGGGCTCACTCTAGCTTGTCCCCTGATCCTCAGCTGCACTGACCCAGTTGTGACAGCAACCAGGAACGCAATTTCCTCTCCCAGTACTGCAGAGAGTGTGGCCTAAGCAGCAGCTTTAGTTACTGAGCAGCTGAATCTCATTTGTCTGTTTATGCAGATGGGTCTAGAAATGCATCGAAGGAGAGATGCTTTTCTCTAAAATCTTATAGGATTAAATTTCCTTTTAAAATTTGCATCAAGCAAACAGTACCTTTGGGAACTATGTTTCTGTATGTTTAAGAGAGGGGGTGTGTGAGGAAGGAGGTCGGAACAGTCAGTGAAAGCTGTGCTTCTTTGACTCCTTTCTAAGGCACACAAAGACCTTCCTCGGGGAGAAGAGGCAGAGAAAATAATCATCTCCCAGAGGGTGAGCACTTGCGAAATTCTGGCTTGAGGATAAGATGCCAGTCATATCCATTAAATCACATGAGGTTGGTGCCAAATTCCCAGTTGAAACCTGCATTTGGAGAAGGAAGCTGCTCGGTTGGCAATGGGACGTGTTTCAGGGGAGACCCCCTTCTAGAGTCTGGAAGTCCCTGGATAAAACATATACACTAAGCACACTGTCTTCATTTAAAATCCTTCCTTAAGATATCTGCTGCTGCCATGTTCCTGCTCCTTCTCTCTCTCAGCCCTGCCTTAAGTTGAGGCTCAGGGCACGTGTTGGGCAAATATAGAAGAGAGTCTATATGCATGATGTTTAAAGACCTGGGCTTCACACTTCAACTCTGGGCTCTGCCATTTATTTGTTATGTAATATTAGCAAAAATTTAGCTCTCAAAGAGTTGGTCTCTTCTTTAAAATAGAGATGATGATAACCACAGCTACTCTATTGGGTTGTCATGAGGGTTAAATGTGATAATATAAGTAGAGTATGTAAGGAGATGCCTGGAACATAGAGCAGCTGATACACAGTGGTTGTTATCATTATGTGATTTGAGCTCTGGCTTTGTCACCATCTGAGCTGCGTTACCATGGACAGATCAAGCCTCTTCTCCAGGCTTGCATGTAAAGTGAGGAGTTGGGTTCAGTGGTTCTGTGCTCCAGAATCATCTGGAATGCTTTTTCAAAAATACGAATTCCTGGGCCCATACCAGACCTCCTGAATCAGAATCTCCAGATTTGGGATCCAGGAAGGTGGAATTTTACAGATCTATGTAAGTAGGGGTGACTTACATAGTGACTCAGTCAGTCAACAGTCCGACTCTTGATTTCAACCCAGGTCATAATCTCAGGGTCATGAGATTAGCCCTATATCAGGCTCCATGCTCAGTGGGGAGTCTGCTTGAGATCCCCCCTCTCCCTCCCCCTCTGGTCCTCTTCCTACCACATACACATGCTCTCTTTCTCACACTCTCTCTCTTTGTAAAAGAAAGAAAGAAAGAAAGAGAGAAAGAGAGAGAGAGAAAGAAAGAAAGAAAGAAAGAAGAAAGAAAGAAAGAAAGAAAGAAAGAAAGAAAGAAAGAAAGAAAGAAAGAAAGAAAATTCCCTTACAGCCAAGAAATGATGAGCTTAATACCCCCTGCTTTTGTGAAACCTTTCCTAACTATTCCCAACTATGGGATTACTTCTTTTATATCCTCAACACCTATAGCCCAGTATCTAGCACAATACAAGCACACAGATAATGCTTTTTAAATTGAAATTCATTCCCAAATATTTAATGCTCTACACTGCTCTGCAATGCCCAGTATTTTAGTTACATTTTCAGAGGTTAATTCATGTTTTTCTTCCCAGCTAGACCACCCTGCCTTTAGTTATTCAAGAAAAAGTTTACCCAGGACATTAAATTTGTTTTCTCTTTTTTCTGCTAACCATTTATTTCCCACTAGCTCCTTTAGCAGAAGTGGAGCAGGGATGGGAGACAACACTAATCCAACAGATTTTTGTTGTTGTTGCAACTCTGTCTTGCTTATTGACTGAGTGAATGTGGAGTGAGGGCCATTGACTACCAAGAAATACTGTTATTAATCTTCTTATTTGAATTTAAACAATAACATCAGAAGGACCTGTGATTTTATTTATGGATTAAAAACAAACTCTCAGAAAGGACTGCACTGTAGCACAATGAATGTAACTAAAGCAACAGCCAAGCCCCAACCTATCATTATGACAGACTAAATTGACTCAAATCCCCACTCTAACAGCCTGGCAGAGAAAACACATACTCTTTTCTGGGTATAACTATTGTGCATCTGTCTCTACTGTTATTTTACTGACATTTCCCAGCATTAAGAAAAAAATTACAAGATGGATGAAAAATGAAAAAAACATGAGCCATGATCAGAAGAAAATATAATCAATAGAAGCAGACTTAGAGATAGCTCAGGTGTTGGAATTATCTAATAGAGACTTTAAAGTACCTATAATAAAGAAGTTAAAGAATCCAATGGAAAAACATGCATGAACAGATGGAGAATTTCACTGGTGAGATGGAAACTATAAAATGAGCCAATGGAAAGGCTAGATGAAAATCACAGTATCAGGGGTGTCTGGGTGCCTCAGCATCTGCCTTTGGCTCAGGTCATGATCCCAGAGTCCCAGGATCAAGCCTCGCATCGGGCTCCCAGCTCAGTGGGGAGCCTGCTTCTCCCTCTCCCTCTCCCACTCCCACTGCTGTGTTCCCTCTCTTGCTGTGTTTCTCTCTGTCAAATGAATAAATAATACCTTTAAAAAAAGAAAAGAAAAGAAAATCACAATATCAGGGTGAAGAATCCTTTCAATGTGCTTATTAAAAGAATGCATATATCAGAGGAAGGAGTGAATAACTTCAAAATAGGTAAAAAAAGATTATCCAAACTTATACACAGAGAGAGAAAAAATACAGTACCCAAGATCCATGGGACAATATCAATCAGTATCTAACATACATGTAATTGGAGTCCCTGAAGGAGAAGAGAAAGAGAATCAGGCAGGAAAAAGTATTTGTAGAGATAATGGCTGAAAATTTTCCTGAATCAATGAAATCATCAACTTATAGATCCAAGAATGCTGTAGAACCCCAAGCGGGATAAATACAAAGGAAAATACAGCGTAGACATGTCAGCATCAATATGATGAATATCAAAATGAAGAGAAAAATCTCAAAAGCAGTTGCAGAAAAAGAAATATGAAGTACTGGGGAACCAACTTTACGTTTCACTGGAGAGAGCTGGAGCTGCATCCTCCTCCCCCACCCTGGCCCCACAGTTTCAGTTTCTCCACTAGGGTAAATGGCACTGCCTATGGATGGGTTAACAGGAAACAGAACAAGTGCCACGAGGCACTTCTTACAGTTTCTCCTCTAGACAGAAGGGAAGGTGTTTATAATAGTTTCATACATTTTAGTCTCTCAGGCACAGGCAACTCCTTGTATAAAATAGGGGAGAGAGGCACCAGGATGGCTCAGTCAGTTAAGCGTCTGCCTTTGGCTCAGATCATGATCCCAGGATCCTGGGATTGAGTCCTGCATCAGGCTCCTTGCTCAGCGGACAGTCTGTTTCTCTCTCTCCCTCTGCATCTCCCTCCCACCCCCAGCTTGTGCTCTCTCTCTCTCTCTCTCACTCACTCTCTCTCTTTCACATAAATCAATACAATCTTTAAAAAAAAGTAAACTAAAATAGAAGAGAGCCAGAGACTAGAACTCTGGGTGTTAGGGATGAAGGTAGGAAAGAACCATATGGAGAACAACAGAGCCCTCCAAGCGGTCCTGCCTTTGCACTCCCCATTCTGGGCTGCACCACCACTGACACCACAGGAGGCCTTCCTTTTCATCTTCTTGTGAGCCAGGAAGCTGATGTCCATATCCCTGACTTTCAGCAGGTTGGAGATTCGTGTATTGGGTCAGGTTCATGTATTGGAGAGAACACCTACCACGCTTCTTTCCAGTTTTAAGGTTCTATAAATCTCCTCCATAGTAGAAATGTTAAAAAATGATTGCTCCTCTCTCTCGTGTTTAAACACTATGCCTTGAACATTCCTCAACTGCTTATTTTTACATCTTCATTTGTTTCTTCATTCATTCACTCAACAACATGTGTTTTGTGAGCCTAGTACATGCCAATCATTTGCCTCTCTTTCTCTGTGTTCTCTAGAAGTTGGTTAGCAAAATGAGGGCAACTTCTGTGTTTCACTCATTTTTGTGTTTCCATGTTGCATGTGGTTGAGAAAGAAAAGGAGAGAAGGGAGAGGGGAGGGAAAAGAAGGGGGAAAGGGAGGAGAGGGAAGGTGAAGGTCATGGAAAGGAGGAGAAGGGTAGGGAGGAAGCTGTTTTATAACAATTTACTTTATGAAAGAGTCTGGGCTTGTCTCATTCTCCTGCCCCACTTTAAGATTTTTCTTTTTTAGCCAGTTCTTGAATCAACTGAAATTTGCTTACAATTGTTCCCTTAGCAACCAGCATCCTTTATGCTTTACTTTGGTTTAAAACTCAGAGTAACCAAAATCTCTGTTTATTTGAAACAGATTTCTAAACAGACTTGCTTCCTTTACTAAAAACAAAAACAGATCATTAAAAAATTTTTAAATGGAAAACTTCAGTTTTTCAAATAAATTTTAAATGTATGTTTGATTTTTATTTTTTAGGTCTGGGGTTTTGGGGGGGGGGGTTTTGGATAGAAGACTCCAGAGCAAACACTTCACAAGAAAAGAGGATTTAAATTTTTAAAAGCTGATTTAATTTTTTATTTCTTTCCCAGAACCTATCAAAATTGCAGTGGGCAACGTAAGATTAAATCACACGTTTTCCAGTCCTGGACCAGCACATGAGGAGCATCAACCACCCTCTCGCACCTGTCAGGGTCCATGCATCCCTCTCCAGCTCCAGCTACCTTGCTACAAGGTGCGTCTGCCACAGGGGCCCAAACATAATCCAGAGAAAGGAGGAGGGTTAGGTACATTGGCTTTTAGGAAATGAGGAAGTCCCTTAAAGAGCAGTGCCCAGGGTCAGGGCTCAATAAATATTTGTGCATAAGAACGAAGAATGCACCTGAAGTTTCTCTTCAAAACATGATTTGGTATAGTTGCACATCCAGAACTCCAAAAGCAGCATTATAATGAAGCTTCAGGGCAAAATATGTCCTATTTATACATACATTTGATCAATGCTCACCATTGAGTTGTTTCTGCGATCTACCGTGAGAGCACATCTGTCCTAGATTCTGAGCCACTGGAGGCCAACAAGCTTGGCAGTCAGGCTCGCTTACCAGAGCTACAAGCAGAAAGGGGCTTAGTGATGTGTTCAGTGCCTAGGTCCAGTCTGATGCCATGTACCTCCAAGAGCTCTCACATCCTTTCGTATACATTATCTCACTTGATCCTCGTGTATAGGTTTGGTGATATAACCAGTGAGGTCTCGTGTATAGGTTTGGTGATATAACCAGTGAGGTCAAAGGAGTTAGGTAATTTCTTCCAAGTCATCCAGGTAGGATTTGAACCCAGGGCTGGCAGACTTTGAAACGTGATCATCTAATATAGGCTGCTCTCCCTCCCCCTGCTCATCAAATGTCAGAAATGACAACAGACTGGCTGAAGGCAAAGGGCACAGAGCTTTGCATAACTGTCCCGCTTCTGTCATCTCCTGAACCTGACTCTGAATTTTGTGCTGTCATGTTCTATTTCCAGAAGAGTGTGAACACACACACCAATGTACACATTCCATGGTGCAGTCTGACTGGGGAGTCATGAATGGCGCTAGCAAGAATTAGATGGCAATTGGGTGACTCAATGGAGCAATGATTTGTCGAACTATCAAGTCTCAGCCTCTCGGGGCAGAAGGCGCTAACCATGTGTTCAGTCTGTGAGCCCCTCTGCAGTGCTCTTGCCAAGGAGGGTTTGATCACTGCAGGGACAGGAACCCCAAGTCTGCTGACTCCATTGCACTGTGTGGAGTTCCTGCTTTGGGCTGGCCTGTGTGTGTGCTTGCCTGTGTGAGGGGTTCTTTGCTCCTTTGTCATGTTTTCTTCAGGCTGAGGAGACATGGCTGTTTCTAAGTGATGAAAACACATTTGAGGACCTAGCCTGTGTCACTGAGAAATGCTACCCTCTAAATTTAAAAGAACAAAGCATCCTTTTCAGACCAGACAAAACATTGGAGAGGGTTTTGTTTGTTTGGCTTTTTTCCCCCTAAAAGAACAAATTCTCAGCTAATAAAGCAGTATGAATATAGGTTTGGATGTGAGTCCCTGACAACCCATGTGCACACGTGCCCATATGCGTATGTGCAGAATCTCCATCCCTCCCCACCCCCACTGCCATCCATTTCCCCAAAAGAACCACAAAGAAGAGTATATTTTTTACTTAATGTAAAGAAAGTCACTATCATTCCGATAAATTCAAGTAGCATGCAGGCAGGATTTAGAATGGCAGAGCTGGCTAGCGACCCACCATTTCTGACACCTGTGGTGGACTTTTGGGATAACCAAAACTCCACAGGCTCCCAGCCCCCTGGCCTGATATTCCCTACAAAAAATCAGCTTCTGCTGCTTCAGCTCATTTTTCATTCACATTGCATTCATTCTCTCACCCCAGGATATGTCTCTTAAATCAATTGTGTTGCTTATTTTCTCTCTGTAGCCTTCCCACTCTTGGGACCAGGGGAAAACACTTAGAAGAATCCAGAATAAGTCACAGGTAAACTCCTCCATAAGCATAGGAGCTGTATTCATGAGACAGGATGCTCATCTCAGGGCCACTGTAGTACCTCCCACCCCAAATGTGAGAAAGAAAACAAAAAGCCATACAAAAACTTAAAAGGCAACTTACAGTGGATTTTGAAGTCCTTGTACTGTCTGTCTTCAATTGCTACCACGTACAAAGCTGCCCGGTCTGGAAACATAAGCCCTCCAGGTTTCTGTTGATGAATTGTGGGGAAATGGGTCTCGTAATCTATTCACCTGACAAAGACATCACATTTTGAACTGCACATAGAGTCACCAGACAGGCACCCCCTTGCCAGCATTTCTCATTCAGCAGACTGTCACCTTGGCCAGGGTTAGGGCTAGGATGGCAATGTTCAATTTTTATTTGGGAGAGGGGAAAATGTGAAGGACCTAGGTAGAGATCATAGGGCAAATGAACTGGGGCAAAGGTAAGTTCAATGGGGAACAGTGAAAGGTGATAATGACCCTTAAGCTTGGACAAGCCAGAGACAGAAGCATGCTCAGCTCTCTGGCAGAGAAACAAGTCCTAAGTACCTGTTGACCAGAATAGATTTTTGTCTTGACAACAGAAAATGGGTGTTGATTATAAACAGAGGCCAAGGTTAGACCTATAGAACAATGTGGCAGACATGCTGGACCTGGGTGCCATTATTCTGTCCTCTGAAGCAGATCTGGTTTAAGGAAAGGGAGAGGGAGAGAGTGACCTTCCAGCCCAAGCCCTTTCTGGAGTCCTCGTGTTCTTCCTAGACTGTCGGCCGGGGGCAGAGCAGCAGGACAGCCAGCAGACCAACAAGGGCACAGCATGCAGGACACTTACCAGCCACTTGTCCCTGGCAAAGATGACCGTGTTGAGCATTGACTCATAGAACAGACAGTAGCCCATCCACTCGCTGATGATGATGTCTACTTTCTCCACAGGCAGCTCCACCTCTTCCACTTTACCCTTAAATATGGTGATGACTGGAAAATAGGAACCCCACGGCCACACTTTGCAGGGACCCTAGCCTGGAACCACGAGCACCCCACATTAGGGCCAGACCTACAGGTCTTAGCCCTGTTTTTTTGTTTGTTTGTTTGTTTGTTTTGTTTTTTCCTAGCCTTGCTCTGATCCTGCTTTTAGAATGCAATATACCTCACCCTTCACCAAGCTACTAAAGAACTGCAAACTACTTGCATGTTTTCTCCCTGAAATGTACGGGGCATTGACTATGTCCTGGTCCTGTGCAGAGCCTGTGATCCTTATCATGTCATCTTCCTAGCGACTCCATGAAGTAAGCACATTATTATTATTCTTGTTTAGAAGTGAGGCTTAGAGGGGTTCAACGGTGGATGTAGAAGTAGAGACCAAGTCTAATATGCTATGACTCTAACACCGTGATCACGGTCCCCATCCTATTTTGGGCCACTATGATGGTTCAGACCCAAAGGGTAAGGATGTTCATGTCCAGGGCTCACCTCCCAGTAGGTTTGGGAGGAAGGCAACTTGGGGTCTTGACAAGAGCATGGGCTCTGTAGTCAGGGGTTTAAGTCCTGATTTTCTCATTATTAACTATATGACTTTGCACAAGTTACTTGACCTAACTGAACTCTGATTCCCCAGAAAACACCAAAGGAAAGTAGTATCTATTTAGTGGGTAGTTGAACTGATACGATGAAATAGCAAATGTGAAGTGCCAGATTCAGAGCCAGGGCTCAAGGGAAGGTAGACATCACCTGACATTTCCCCCCTTCCTGACCAGTGATGGAGAGGTGAAGGGCATAAGGCCGGGACCACTCTCCTGCTCTTAGTGACCTCTGCTCATGAGTCACTTCCTAGACCTTCCGATCCCTCCAGGGCAGAAGTTTCTTAGCTGGGTTTTTGATCATCTGACACAGTCATACACATAATTTTGGAGTCTCTTTTTGCATTTGTTGCTCTAAAGATCACAGCAAACACTATCTTAGATGATGTTATGAAATCGACAGGTGATATATCGGTTGGCTGAATCCATCCGAACATTTCTGCTGAAAGGATACACATATTCATGCTCTGAAATTCTCTTTCTGCACCATCTTCTGAAAAATCACACCGTGCCTGAGCTTTGCTGGGAAAATTGAACAATAGCTTGTACTCAGGAATGAAAAAAAAACAAAAAACAAAAATATGTACACACAAAGAGAACACATCTGTCCTGAATCTGAGCTTCATGAAAATTAATTTGGATTAGAGGCTCCTGCATGACAAAGGGCAAACAAAACAAAACAAAAGGGTTTTGTTTCATGTCCTCACATTGGATAATGCAGGTGAGGAAGTGCCCATTAGCAGTTTCTAATGATGATTTTGCTCTCCAGTACCAGCGTTTAATCAAGCCTTAATCAGGTAAGTTCTGCTCCGTAAGCAGTCAGACACTTTGCAGACGTACCTTGGTTCTGATCACTCTAGAGTGAGGCCCAGACTTGTGTGGCAACTACTTGTAGAGCCCTACCCCTAAGTGGTAAGATCAGGAAGGCCTAGTCTTCTCCAAAAGTTTCAGAAGGGGTGGGAGGAATAGGTGTCAAAACTCTGCTCCTCTGGGGGTACTCCACAACCCAAAAGCAGGAAGGAAGTGGGCAGGGCCTGGGATGACTCACAAGGGGACAAAGTAAGAGATTTTTGAAAATGCCAAGAGAATGCCTAACTTATTTCTCATCCTGAGAAAGAGCTGACAATTAATGCCTGCCCCACCTGCCTCATTATTTGAGTGCAAAGCCTGGTTTGTCTTACTTTTGCAAATCTTTATTGTTGAAGAATAACTGACATATCATATTATATTAATTTCCTGTGCAGAACACTGTGATTTGACATTGCATATGTAAATTGCAAACTGATCACCACGAAAAATCTAGTTACCATCCATCACCATACAAACTTGGTACAAATTATTGACTTTATTTCTCATGTGGCACATTCCATCCCCATGACTTAGTTATTTTATAATTGGAAGTTTGTACCTCTTAAATGCCTTCACCCTTTTCCACATCCCCTACCCCTCCTCTGGCAACCAGCAGTCTGTTCTCTGTGTCTATGAGTCTGGGTTTGGTTTGGTTTTGTAGATTCTACTTCTTAATGAAATCATGCAGTCAGTATTTATTCTTCTCTCTCTGACTTCTTTCACTTATTGTGATGCCCTCAAGATGGACTCCTTTTCTTCTCTCTTTGCACATTCTTTGAAGGCTCTTCCCTAATATCTGCTTCTATGTATGGGGCTATAGGTCTGCTCCATCTCCTACGTTAGATCATGATTTCCATGTGGCTCGGGAAGGTGTGTTCTCCTGCCTGTGGGACCCCACAGCCTCCACTCTGGATGCCTAGTACATGGTTCACTGGGGATCGTTCCATGGACAGGACTCCAGTAGGACTGCAAGAAGTAGAGATGGGCAAGGAGTTATAGTCTAGTCTGACAGATGGGTATGTACAGAATATTCCTGGGGTGTCCCCAGGGTAAGTGAATGTTGTCCCTGTCCTCTGCAGTAGTGCTCTCTCCATTCATTGCTATATCTGGATCACTATGGATACGATAGATGACAGGCAGGTAGATAGATAAATGAAAGAGAGAAAGAGAGGGAGAGACACGGTGGGTCATAGAAAGGCAGAAAGAATCAATTAACCCTATTTTTAAAAATTAGTCTGTGCTTCACTTCGCTTAATGTCACCCTTCTGCATCCAAACATTTCTGAGAGCAGGTGTAGCCCTGGCTTGGCTTGGTGAGTAGATGGGCCCTTTGTGAAAGGGAAAAGGCAGGCCTCCCCTCAGTCCCTTCATCCCCTTGCTTGGATGTTTCTCTACAATGCTCGATTTTCACAACCTTCTGCCAGTGTCCTAGAGCCAGGCAACTTCTGTTCTTATTCCAGGTGACAATCAACCTTGATCAAACATTTCCTCCCCTTGGGTCCTACATTTCCTTATTGTGGGGGAAAAAAAAGAAGGGGATTGAACCCAAACATCCCTAAGATGTTGTGTTATGCCAAAATGCTTTGATTCTTCAGACACATATTAAGCATGTAAAAGGCATTCTGCAAAGTTTACTGGAAGAAGTAGCTGACACGGATAAAGAAACAGGGTCTGCAATGTCCAGTTTGACTCGAATTTGCACCAGTCCCTTGAGGCTAATTATTTTTAAGAGGCTATGTTGTTTTTATGGACCCAAATATAATTGAATCATCAGGGATGGTCTTTCTGTTTTCTGTAGTCACACCAGCAACCATTTAAACTCCCAGATTCAATGTCCCAGTCTGCAAAATGCTACCTCCTGCGGTGGGCTGTATGGCAACTAAATGGGGGGCTACTGGTCAGTGCAATGCAGTGGGTTCACTCCAAGAACTTTGTGGGCAACTGAACCTTCTCCACGTCAATATTTTCAAGGGGGAATCTTAGCCATTGATACTCAGGTTCTGAGCAGCTATGGGCTGCAGAGCCCCACTCTCAATCTGGACCCCACATCACCAACCCTGTGTCAGTTCAAGGTTGCCCTGAGGTCCCTCTTTGAAGCTATGTTCTTATTCCATAGAGATGATGGGAAGTTTGTTCCAACAACAGGACCATGGCTCATAAATTGTGGGATGATTAATCATAACCAAATGTACAACAGGGAGCAATGCACTCTAAACTCTAAATTGGGAGATCCTTCTGTAATTTCAAGTTTGCCAATTAGACATCTGGATTTTTTTTCTCTTTTTGGATTTGTTTTCTTTTTATCTGGAGTGTTTACTACAGAGAGCCAGCCAAACTAACTCACGGTTGTTCGTTTGACTTAAAAAAAAAAAATGCAAAACAAAACAATCAGGCCAGCCTGATGTCTTCTGGGCTTCCAGCATGTCCATCAGAGTCAACTGACCCCACAGGTCCGAAGAGAGTGGTCTCCCCCATTTAGACTCTTATGTTCCCTAGAGCAGATCCTGTAGCACAGAGGAGTGGGCATGAGGGTCATGTGTGCAAGGCGGGAGGCACATCTTGAGGCTGCAGGGTCTCTCTGATGCCATCCCCACAACAGCACAGGCACGTGCCACCCCCCAGCTGCCTTGCCATGTTGCTCACATGCCCATTTTGGGGACACCCACGCCAACTGCCATACACCTTCCAAGGGCCTGACTCACCTCCAGGCTATGATTTCCTTCTCTTAGTTGTCGATTCTAGCTTCCTATTTCCAGGACCTAGCAGAGCACTTGCCTCCTCACAAACATTCAGAAATCATGGCTGAATGAATGAATGGGTGAATAAGCAATTTTGAAAAAAAGGGTATTTGGGTTCAAAGACAAAAGATCCTCAAACCAGTTCTAATTAGTATAGTAAAAAAAAAAAAATTACTAGCATTTGAATAGCAGCTTTGCAGAGTGATTTCACTTACATTATCTCCATAACCCTCACAGGAACCCGTGTGTTGGTTTTATTACTCCATCTGCCTAATGAGAAAGCTGGAGTTTAGAGAAAGCAAAAAGTAGAGCCAAAAAGCAAGGTCTGTTGCATAACCTGGTACAAGTATCCAGCCTCCCTGGGGCTCCCCTCCGTCATCTGCCAGCAGATATAATATCTGACTTACCTACCTCGTGGGATTGTTGTGGACACCAAGCAACTGCTTGGGAATGATGGGGGGGGGGAAGTAATCACAGAAGGTCAAGGACTGGCTCATCCTTCTCCTGACGGCTGTCAGACTGGTTAGTAGAATGAGGAGTGGTAGGGCCCTCATGAGCCTATCAGGCCGCTGGAGGAGGATCCCATTCATGTCCCTGGTACCAGCTCTTCCTTGGCTTCCCAGGGTCCAAGTACATGGATAAACCTCTCTTACAAGGTCAGACCCAGCCCATTCTTGAGCCAGTAGTGGTGGGACAAAGACGACAACAATAATGTTATCCCCAATATCTGGTGGGACGTGGAATAAACCCTACAGCCAACAGACCCCAGAACGGGACTGGCAGAGATGAGCCACGGGTGCTTTTAGCTTCAA